CTTTCCTAATAACTTTTCATAAATATTCTTTTGGTAATCTATTTAGAAAATTGTGGCGCAATGGAGGATATCAACAAAGAAGCTATCTCTTTCATGGATTTTCAGAAGGAAAAACTATAGTTTTTTGAGTAATCAATTTTTTCTCATTTCTGAACGCTTTTGCTACTGATTTAGTTGAATGGGGAACCAAGTGCTTACGAGCATCATGAGTTTAACGCTTACCAAAAAAATCTAGATTTCTTTATATTTATTCATGGTTCCTTTTTTTATTAATCCTTATCTGGTAGTCTCAGCGTGGCAACTTTTAGCTTTCTTTCTCGCTTAGGGACAACGAACAGTGCCTTTCAAGGTTCTATCCTTTCTACAAGTCAGAAGCCTTGGTACTCTTTTCATTCTTATTTAAAACCGTACCAGGAATTCGCTGCACATTGGTCACTTGCGACTTTCGTCTCTTCACCTCCACAGTTACTCGCGGTTTGTTTCGCATATGTAATATTCGCTGTTTCTTTCGCAGATGGATTACTTTTGGTTTTTCTTGTACTTGGATCACTTTCGGTTTTTGTCGCATATGTATTACTCGCTGCTTCTGTCGCAAATGAAATAATTCCGGTTTTTCTTCAGAAACCTTGATACTCTTTTCATTCCTATTTAAAACCGTACCAGGAAATCGTTGCACATTGGTCACTTGCGACTTTCGTCTCTTCACCTCCACAGTTACTCGCGGTTTGTTTCGCATATGGATTGCTTTTGGTTTTTGTCGCACATGTATTACTCGCTGCTTCTGTCGCAAATGAATAAATTCCGGTTTTTCTTGTACATGGATCGCGTCTGATTCTTCTTCTACAATTATTTTTGGCTTTTGTTGCACGCGGATCACTTCAGGTTCTTCTTGCTGAAGGATCACTTTCGGCTTTTGTCGTACGCGGATCACATCTGGATCTTCTTCTACACGAATTACTTTCGGTTTTTGTTGGACGCGGATCACTTCCGGTTCTTCCTGTACTCGGATCATTTTTTGTTTTTGTCGCACATGAATCACTTCCGGTTGTTGACGTTCTTGGGTCGGTTCTTCTTCTTGTTCACGGATCACTCCTGGCTCTCCCTTTACACGGATTACTTTCGGTTTTTGCTGGACGCGGATCACTTCCGGTTCTTCTTGCACACGGATCACTTCCGGTGTTTGTTGCACACGTATCACTTCTGGGTCATTTTGTAGACGGACCTCTTCCGGTTTTTGTTGCACGCGGATAATTTCCGGTTCCTCTTGTACACGGATCACTTCTGGGTCTTCTTGTACACGGATTATTTTCGGTTTTTCTTGCACCTGAATTACTTCCGGTTCTTCTTGTACGCGAATCACTTTCGGTTGTTGACGCAAGTGGATCACTTCTGGCTCTT